TTCACAAACTCTGCATCTCTTTCTACTACGACACTGGAAAACAACAACTTTATGAAAAAAAGAAACAAACCTCAACAGTTACCATTTACTACCTATCACTAGCGTCAAACTCAAGTTCTCACGGCTGTTCTCTCATTTTCAAGAGTCTTTTCTTGCAGAGTTGTGTAGCAGGAGTTTTAGCACGTGTTTCACAGAGGGCAAAAGCCTGCTTCTTTAGTAGGTCTGAAGGGACCACACATACCAGAGGCAGTAACAAAAATCACACCCAGAAAGCCTTCTAAAGATGCCCAAAGTAGCGATATGTGTGCAGCTGGTAGCACCATTATGGTACTAACTCACACTTTGTTTTCAGTAAAAACAAAACCTTACAATGAGTAACTGTAACACGGTAAGAATAGGAAATATTTCTGGGAGGTACTGACATGAAATGGAAAACAGACTACAGAAATACCAAAGCTATATTTTCTGTAGGGGAAAAACGCACTTTACTCTTTCCTCTTACTTCTGTTCAGAACAAAGAAGCTCTCCAGTATTACCAACTGTAACGATAATAGTATTCTTGCTATAATTGTTATAATACTGATAGTGCTACAACCTGGACGTTACCTTGAGTATTATCATAAGATCATAGCTCTGACACATTAATTGGTCACATCTACTAATGCACTCACTGTAAAATCTGTTGCAACCAAATAATAATCAATTTAACCCTTTAAAATGAAAATACTTTTAAGATGAAACATTTCAAGCATTCAAAAACCAAAAACGAGATACAATAGCTGGGCTGAGTAAAAGAACGAATAAACTAGAATCAACTTCAGCTCTTCAGTGGGGCTTGTGGTCAATATGACTTTATTATGAAACACAAGACGGAATTAACAGGTTCACACGTTCCTCTTTTCCACAACTGACTGGAGACCTACTGAATATCTACACCAGTCAGTCTGAAGGTCCAGCCTACTCATCTAGCCCATCTCCAACACCAGCCAGCAGACACATGAGGAAATACAAGACACAAGCCAAGCAGACAACCTTCCTTCATGTACAACTCGGCTCATTTCTGAGAGAATAAATGTTGCTTCCACTTAAGCTGATGGAAAGGAAAGACAGACAACACACGGCAATCGCATTCCTCCAGCCTATCTGAACAAGCAGGTATATTCCCAGTGGACAATCAACCAAAAGGCAACTTTATTCAAGCCCTTCCAGGAATGTTTGTCCGCGAGCTGGGCTGCAAAAGCAGTGAGATGAGGCAGTGTCCTGGCCCAGGACAGTCAAACAAGGGGGAACTTAGCCATTAGTAATGCTTAACAGACTAGAAGCCACACACGTGCTCATGATGGTAGTTGTTAACTTTCACATCAACTTACAATGCTTCCACAACCTCTATATGGACCTTCAAACTCTGAGGGAAGAAAATCCTGTAAAGCTTCATTCATTATTTGTGGGTAAATTTAAGTTCCCAAGGAGCCTCCTGGTTTTCATCCTGTTCTCATCTAGCCAAAATTTAAGGCAAGCTTCGTATTCTCAGCAAAGCAGCACATAGGTTTACAACTATTTTTAATCACAAAAAAAAAAAAAAAGAAAATACGTGAAGCAGCATACAGAATAATATGAAAGACCAGTGGGCATACCATTTTGGACACGTTCTAAGGCCAAGTCTAAATCACTACTTTATGTATAACTATTCAAAGTCACTTTAAACAAGAGCTGTGCAATTCATGTATTGCGAGTGCATCGACAGCATTAAAATACAATTTGAAGAGTCAGTCTTTAGCTCTAATCCCAGAAATAAGCACAGATCTTAATTTTATATAGTGAGAGTAGTCCATCTGTACTGTGTATGTATGTGTGAATAAATAAATCATATAGCAAGTTAAAAATAAAATCTCCTTCACAGTCTGAAATGAGTAAAATACATTTCGCAATCAGATCAAAATGTGGCCAAACACTGCATACAGAAACAGTACTGAAATTAGCTATTAGACCCTTGGAATCAGACGCAACAAACAATTGCAAGTTTCAGGTATTTGTAGTTTTAAATGTTGTTTCACTTAAAGATCGGGAAAAAACAGTATTTTTGAGAATGGAATGAGAATGTACACATGCAAAATACACCATCTCTGGTAAAAAAAAGTCTCGTGAAAGAACTTTAACTTTGTGTCACGTACCATCAGCATGTGTCTTAAAAGGCGGTCAACAAATAAATGTAGCAGGTTATCAAACGAAATTGTTAACAGATCTGAAGTGCAAGGTCAAGTACTTTTTAATACTGGGATACCAGCTAAATTAAATTTACTAATGATGGGCTTATGCCCCTACCACATCTCTTAAAAAAAAAAAAAAAATTTAGAGTGCAGCACTTTGACTTGTTTTTATAGAATCATAGAATGAATCATAGAATCATTTCCTAGCTGAAAGTTGCAAATCTTACGTTAAGTGGGTCAGCCCTCGTTATTGTCATTCCCTGTCAAAAAGCCTGCCATCGGAGCTGAGCAGAGTCCCAGCTCCGCGTGTTGCTGCTCACAGACACGAGACACCACCGCGCCCCAGTCCAACTGGCCTCGGACAGCACCAGGGCATTTCTACACCGCTTCCTCTCACGTGAGTTATGAAACCTGCGTTCTGCTGTATTTTTCTTGAGTGACTATTGACATATCAGTCCCATGAACCGTTTTCTGTTACCGGTTTCCTTCTGTTCCGTGTTCTAAGCACGGCATAGCTGGGACCTCAGGTTTTGTTCCGTTCTCCAACACTGCATCAATGTGTGTGTACGTTTATCACAAATAACTACAGCTGAGAAGAATCTTTGCCTTTTCATGTTTATATTACCTAGGACACTCCACACTAGACAGACATGCAAGACAAAATACTTTATCTGAAGAATGCGCATGCAGCTCTTCAGTACACACTCCCTTGAAAACTGAAGGCCAGTAACGATGAAAAATTACACCGACTCTTGACACTCCTGCGTTTACAGAAGACTGGAACAGGAGGTTGTACAGAAGACTGCACCAATAAGTATGGATCCCAATTTGAAAAAGAACATTGCACAAACGTTCTTCATGGCCTTGCATTGTGGAAAGACTGCTTTCTCAACTAGAATAAAAGAGGAGGGGTAGGTATGCTGAACCTGAATGACACACATCGGTCCTTAAAGCGAACAACAGAGCAGCATTCGCTTCGTTCTCAGAAGAATCTGATTCGGAGAAGAATGGCTCCACATTTGCTACAGCACTTCTTGAATGTTTTCAAAACACAAACCTCAGCCAGAATGCAGCCCATAAAGACTTCAAGTAACAGCTAAGTAAACATCTGCATCTTTTAAAGTTGTTTCACCCAACACGAAAAGAGCTTCTACAATCTGGTTAAAATATATTTTTACACTGTGCAGAAAACGTAATAAGAAATACTTGCTTCTTGTTAACAAAAGAAATCAAAACTAGAAAATTATTAAAGCTGCTAACAAGACTTGACAGTTGCCATTTTGTTTTTTATATTTTTATTTTAATTTCTATTTACCGTTTATTTTTTAAAAGCAAAGATTCTTCAACCTAATTTTAAGACAACAAAGATTTTATAGGATCCTTTCAATACGCAATATCTTCCCCGCTCATCCTTAGCCAAATAAAGGGAAGGCTGCCAGCATTATTCCCTACAAAACATAAAATCAGTAGACAACAAGCAAATCTGCTCCCTGCCTTTCACAGATCAATGCACAACCCATGAAGACCTGAATTATAGAATACTTAATGAAAATTACCGAAGAGTGTCAAACGACAAACCACTGAAGTTACAGTGTGGAAATGTTTTGTAACCATGTTTAGCTGAGCCCTTGAGCAGCCAACACTAAGCTCCAACATAACGCAAGTTTTCCTGTCAAAGCCCAGTTCAACAGAGGAGAGATTTCACTGTAACATATTGATTTCCTTTATTGCTGACTCAAAAAAGAAAAAAGCCTGATTTTTATTTTCTGGGACATTTATATAGTCCTATCTAATTATATACTCCATCAACCTAACTCAATTAAATAATAATATAATGATGTCTAGGAAACCACCGATATATATGCAGACAGTTTAAGTAGTACTAATTACATTCTAATTTTTTAAATCCATCATAATGAGCCTTTCTTCCCATTCTCTGAATAGAGGACAACATGTAGATTAATATTTATATTCAGTGTATCATACTATCTATTTAGGAAAATCACTGAAAGAAAGTACAAATTAACACTCAAGTTCACCAAGTTCACCATACAGTCAAACTCAAACAGGACTTTTTTTTAATTGCTAATAATCCCACAGTACCATACCAAACATTGCAGAGTGTATTTTCAAGGTGCTGCATCCCAAGCCTGCCGCTGTGTTCCACATGACTCTACCCAGTCTCTCACAGTAGCTACAATCTCTGAAAAAACGTGCGTAGGAAAAGTAACCCTTCCTGGATACTGAAACGTACCAAAAGGGTTTCCTACCAGTAAACTGGTTTAATGCAGAACTTTGTATCTTCACAGCACAATGACTATTAAAGCAGTTCTAAACATATTGCAGCTTACAGAAATATCTAGAATTCAGAGAAATAACGAGAATTGCCACTTCTCCTGCTGTTCAAATTTACCTTTCGATCAAACAGAGGGGTTATAAGTAACTCACCTCCGCTGGCTCTCAAGCTATTTCTATCCCTGCACACAAAGTGAGTATTTGGACTCCGGAGAAATCAACAACAACCAAGCTTAAAAGACTGCAAAAAACAGTCAGGCTTATGAGGTCAAAAGGGATTTAGATCAACATTTTATAGCAGCTCGTACAAGGAAATAGCAGTTAATTTGCTGTTTCAACTTGTATTTAATATCAGAACTTGCTGTATCGCCCAAAGGTCTTACCTACCATTTTGTCTCAGGGTACAAAATTCAACTGTTTATAGTATGTAGATAAATAACAGTAATAAAAGCATTAAAAGCGCATAGTTGTTTTAAATATTGTTATTAACAAACCAACCTTCTCTTTTGAGCTTCAGAGTCTCTCCTGGCTCGTTCTAACGCCAGTTCTTCAGCTATTCTTTTCTTTAGTTCTTCATCATTAACTACAATTAAAAGAAAATGAAATGAACTGTTAACAGAACACAACATATTCCTAATTACAGAAACCACTGCACAATACAGTGCTCTATTTTATTTATTTTCTTTTTTCTATAAAGTAGTTGGAGTGCTTTCTTGGGGTTTAACAACTTCTCAAATTTTAGCATACAACACTAGACAGCCTTTAAAAATTACTCTTATTAAACAACTTTTAAATTAGTGGAATCTTTTGAAATCTACCAAACGTACAGTATCTGTTAAATTAAATACATATTTTCTTAAGAAATATGCCTTCATAACACAAAATTGGGGGGAGGGGCAGAGAGGAATGGGAATGAGACATAAATTGTAAAGTCATAAATTGCTGCTTTTTATTCATACAGAACCAAGGGAAACATCTTCCTGGTGTGAGGAATCATGTATTTTCAGATGCATATTTTACCCAACAAAGCATGTACAACATCCTAGATAGCCATACTTTCTATTGTTCAAAAAAGATTTTGCCTCAAATTCTCACAATTTTGTTTAAATAAGCAGATATGGAAATAATATTTTCTTCATTTAGATTATGTCAGATAAATTAGTCGAAGGTCCGGTTGAAAACTGAAAAAGCAGGGAAGCAACTTCAGGCCTATGAATAAACTTTCCCACACAAAGGTAGAGAAATACGAGAGCCATTAATCCTACAAGCTTCACAGAATCACAGAACGGTTTGGGTTGGAAGGGACCTTAACGATCATCCGGTTCCAACTCCCCTGTCATGAGCAGGGACATCTTCCACCAGCCCAGGTTGCTCAGAGCTCCATCCAACCTGGCCTTGGACACTGCCAGGGAGGGGGCAGCCACAGCTTCTTTGGGCAACCTGTGCCAATGGACATCTACGAGACTACCAAAATCCATTCAAGGAGGTTTTGAAACACAAAACAGGTCTATTCCCAGGTTGCTTTGATATTCAAGGGCTCAGTCATGCAAAATGCATACAAGTATCTTAAGGGCAGGTGTCAGGAGGATGGGGCCAGACTCTTTGCAGTGGTGCCCAGCGACAGGACAAGGGGCAACGGGCACAAACTGGAGCAGAGGAAGTTCCAGCTGAACAGGAGGAAGAACTTCTTCACTCTGAGGGTGATGGAGCCCTGGCCCAGGCTGCCCAGGGAGGCTGTGGATGCATCGCCGTTCGTGGGGTATATTCAAGACCCGCCTGGACACAGTCCTGTGCAGCCTGCTCTGGGTGACCCTGCTTCAGCAGCAGGACTGGGTGATCCCCAGTGGTCCCTTCCAACCCTTATCACTCTGATTTTGTGACAATACTACACCGTTACTATTCAATATTATCTATAGGCAACTGCATACTTGTGAAAAATCCGACCCAAGAAGATGAGCAGCAGTTTGCTGTAACTTTCTCTAATAGACATTGTGTCAATAAAATATGTTTCAATAGACTTCCAGAAGAAACCATATTGAAAAGGTTGTTTCAATCTTAAAAAAAAAAAAAAAAAATCAGAGATGCTTTTGTATGTTTTCTCTC